ATAATCACATGAATATTTATGCAGTACAAGAAAGATATCAGATTGATTTATAAACACAAAAAACTTGAAAACTTCTAATTATATTACTGTTTGTCTGATAATATTACCTAAAGATGACCAGGAGGGAGAAACAATGCCAGATTCTAAATTTTGCATCGGCGCTATTGTAACCACTGGAGTCCCTAAACTTGCAATCAATTCAGAGCTCATTGTATACACAGGAGGTAATAAGACAGGGTTGGAATATCCTGATGATATAGGACTCGCAGGAGTGTAAACATGAGAGGAGGGAGATAAAGACGGACTTGAAGGGTATGAAGATGTTTCGTGAATTGGACTTTCAGGTTTACTAAAACGGAAGTCTCTTGGAAGAGGTCCAGCTTTTCGCTTATTGTTTATTCTAGGCGAGGCAGGTTCCATTGGTGTCAAACGTTTGGGGCTTTTTGATGTGGATCCAACTAAGTCTATATCAGCTTCATCCACCATCATTCGCTGCAATTAAAGATTAATTATCAGTACCACAGAATAATTTTACTATTACTTGATATGCAAGCTTAAATCTGAAATATACAGTGTCAAGTGATGATAAAAAATTGAATTTTTTTTTATTCTTCAATCAATTAGATCACATAATCATATTGAAACAAACAATATAATCATTCTCTAATAAAGAAAATGAATTTAATAATACAATAGCAAAAAATAGAAAGTATAATAAAAAATGAAACTTTTATAATAGGTGTTATTTTTTAACAAAATTAGTCATTGCATCATTTATTTTATTAATTTTGACTAATCTGTTGTACATAAATTTTGTTATACATCATATAGAAGATTGAGAAGTCAAAGCATAAAAAATGTAATTAATAACTAATTCATAGTTGAAAAAAGAATTGTTTGAAGAGTAAACATTTTTTTTAAATAAATCAAATATTAATACAAATTTTATTTACTCTTTTTATTTTAGAGTTCAAAGGAGGTTTTAGATTTTTCTAATATTTTACATAGTACTTGGGATAATTGTACTGTGGTTCAGAAAAATCTCTTGGATGATATTATTGAACTAATAACTAATTGTTATTTAATAATTGCTTTCTATTAGTATATTATTTATAAATTTAATAATATACATAATGTATTATTAATTTTGCCTACAAGCATAATATAAAAAGTTGAGTGGGTACCAATATTCATAAAAAAAAAATCTAATAGAGCATACTTAATGAGATTTTAATTAATTTTTTATTAATACAACACTATATAAACTTACTTTATCTATCTTGAAAGGATTTCCAAACATGTGTTGTCTGACAGGTTGACTTTCAAGTTCTCGCAATTGTGGTGTCATTCGTTTCAAATGTTCCTGATAATTTCCCATTTGACCTACAGGCATTGAGTGCAAGCTGTCATCATCTATTAATTGTGTATGAGATAAAGAAGGCTGCAAAAAGTTTGCCCTCATACGAACAACCTATTAAAAAAATATATATTGCTTTGCTATGAATACACAAAAAAAAACTGTTGCAATGCATATTAATCTAGCAATCACAAAAACAATGATGACAAAAAAAAAAATATATTGAAACTGACCTGATCTAATAAAACACTCCGTGATATATCAAATGGATTCCTAAAACTACAACTACTTTTTTGACGAGATTTCGATAAATTACAACAAACCCACTAAAATCATTAAGTTGTTCTCTCAACTGTGAAAATTTGTCTGAAAGTTATCAATACATATTATGTGAGATAATCTTAATTCTTCATTTTTGTAAAAATGTATTACAAGTACCTTGGAGCTGTGGATGCGATAGAAGATCCTTTTTAAAAGGAGATCTCGCAACAACTCGCACTGTTTCATTTGGTACCCCATGTTTACCATTATTCTGTTTGCTGATAACCTAAATAAAATTGTTTATAAACATATGTGAAGAAAACTAAATCACAATATTAAAGGAAATGGAATATTTACTTACATCATTACATAGTTTATCAAATTCGATTTTGGCTTGTGTTTTAGCACGTTTCAAATAATTTAGAACTAAGTAACTTAGTGAATTTTCCATAGAATCAGTAATTAAAGCTGATGCTAAAGGTGCAGGAGCTCCCATTCTAATTAGAGCTCTTTTTAATGGCTGTAACAAAATAAAATTATTTTTTTTTGCCAAGTTACTCATTGATAGTAATGATATTTTATTGTGAAGAAATATCTCAAACTTATTAAGTTAGCTAAATGGGAACTTAACTTATTTATACTAATTTTTATATAAATTCATTTTTTATCTGAAAGTCAATGATTGAATGGCATGATCTACAAATTGTAAAAGATGAATTGAATTCACTTACAGCTGCATAATAAGGTGGCATCGTTCTTAGATAATTTCCAAAATGTGTTTTCCAGTCATTGCTAGGTTTGCATCTATGTACTTTAAATAATTCTTCTAGTAAAGGTAATAACACAGGATAATTGTATGGCATTACAAACATGTTGACACAACTCAAATTTGTGCTAGCTTTCAAATACCCGAATGGGTGACCAATTTCTCCACTTTTTGAACTATTAGCTACAAATATCTTTAACAAAAATAAATATCAATTTTTTTTTGCCTTTTATATCAAAATATATTTTTAAAAAAGAATGGAGCTACCTGCCAGCATACTGTAGGCTGTTTTCTTGCTAGAATGTATTGAGTTAAAGGACTAGGTTCTAATTCATATTTATCAAAAGGTAAATTCTCTATTACCATTGGTTCTTGGCTTGTACAAGTAAATTTCACATTTGGATGGGCAGATCTTGGTGGCTAAAACATTTAATTCTAAAGCTGTAGCTAGTTATAGACTGATTGCATTTTAATATAAATCATAATATGCAAAATGATCTATCCAACTGTAATCAATTAATAATTCAATAAATTAAAAGATTGCTGACTTCATAACTAGAACAAACTATATGCATAAAATTATGAGAAATATTTTTAATAAATTATTCATTCAATAAGCATTAATGACAAGCAATACTTAAAAAAAAATCCAATTATGCAACCATTCGGCATTAATATTTCATAATAGCAGTGCCCTGGCAATTGTTAATAAATAATTTGGACTTACAAGTGCAGCAGCTCCCAGATCTGGCCAAAACGATTCAGGTATAGGCCAATAACCAATAGCAAACCCTTTTTGTGCCGTCGTTCTTGGAACATATATTAATCTTCTACATGATTGCCAAGTTGGAAAATTTCCAGCACGAAACTGTAACAAAATTAATGTATAGATATTTAACAATAACAGATACTAGTATAATAAAGCACTAGATCAATTGACATAGCCTACATATTATATTTCATATGGAGAGAATATTAACAAAGTAGATTCATAATTTAATTAGATTCAAACATAAAACATTTAGTTATTATTATCATCACATGCTCAGTTCAGTTTGAATAGCTAATTACATTAGCCTTGAAATTGTGAATATAAAAGTATTATAATTAAACCTATATAAAGCAAAAACACTTCAAATCACTGATATGAATATGTGGTGACAACGACATTTAACTTATTCTTCAGCAAAAGAGAATAGTTGATACATTAAATTTAAACAAGACTTACTCCATTTCTTTCATCTACTTCTAGTATATTCTCTCCATCCCTCGAGTCGATGTCCATATTTATATCTAAACTGGGGGGATCTGGTCCTATTTTCTCAAAATTGATAACAACTCCTGATTGAACTTTTTGTACTAAACTGTCAATACACTGCATTAACATCCGATGTGATGTAATGCAATATGAACGGCCTAAATATCAAGACAAAAAAGAAAAACAAAAGCTATTGTATTTTTTTTTATGATTTTCAAAGTGTTCTAAAAATTAACCTACCTCCTGTGACTTCACACATAGCATCTATAGGGGAGGAATCGCTAGGAACTAAGCCACTGTCTCTTTCCACTGCAGGTGTACCAGACAACCTCAAGACTAAAGAAAACAGTCGTTGATCCCAGCGAAACGGCTCTCGTGTTAATTCAGAGCCAGGAATTGGAGAATGCATCGGTAAATTGAACTAAAACACAATTTTATTATATTGATTTATCTCAGAAGTATTAGATATTATACTTAAAAATATAAGATACATTTTATGTAATTAAAAATTGAAAATTAAAAAGATTACGTGAACACAAATACACACACACACACACACACGTGTATATATATATATATATATATATATATATATATATATATATATATATAACTACAACGTAGTTAATTTTGATGTTGAGATATATAAGTAACCTCTTTATGGCGATACATCAAAGAAAAAGAACAGATTTATAAATTTATCTTTAATTCAAAACGTTTCGACATACGATTTAATGTCATCATCACTGTATATTGAAATTGGTATCTTACATCAAAAGATGTGTATACAGCACAAAGGTTTTTACTAACATTACTACCCTGTCAGTAATCATGATTTTTTTTTATCGATGAAAAATGTCGATAAAATAAAGATATTTTTGCAAATGAATTACTACAGTGTCCGAGGTCAATGTGACACATTAGTGTATTAATGTTAGAACTAAATTTTGTGCTGTATACACATCTTTTGATATAAGATTCCAAATTCAATATACGTTGATGATGACATTAAATTGTATGTCAAAATGTTCGGAAATTGAAGATTAATTTATAAATCTGTTTTTTTTTCTTTGATGTATTGCTCTAAAAGAACATATATATATATATATATATATATATATATATATATATATATATATATACACACAAACTAAACAATCCCTATTATTTTACAAATACATTTTTAGAATAATTATGTATTGTGATTTAAATTGTAACTATTGAATTTTAATAAAGTTCTATTCTATTATATATTATATATATATATATATATATATATATATATATATATATATATATATATATATGTGAGATTGCAGTATTATGTAGTTACTTATTTTATGAAGTTGAAACTAAGAGCATTTATACTAGGCCAAACTACATTTGGCCTTCAGCAAGAATTAAAAATACATCAATTTATCATATTAGTTAGAAGTGAATCAATAAAAAAATTGGGTTCAACTGTTACTACAGTCATTAACATGATCTTATTTTTAAATTCTGGAAAATTTTCGATAATTTTGATTACATTTTTATATTATTAAAATAACAAATGCAAAAATAAGATTAAGGCTAATTGTTCACTTTTTATATTTAAATATGCTTACTTCGTCATGAACACCCCCATTGGAAGATAATTTGCCTCCATCAGTAATAACAACGATTACTGAAGGTTCTAAGAAATAAGGACATCGACCCTGGCCATAAGTATCAATGCCAGTTTGCATACGATTTATATTCAAAACGTCAAAAGCATGCTTCAAAGCAGCACCCATAGTAGTCATACCATAACATTGCAAATTTTTCAATTCATTTGTAAATGTAGTTATGTTTTCTTTCCATCCTGCCTAAAATAACAAAATTATCAAATGTTTACCAATTCATTTAATACAGATGATCTTAAAAAAAAAACATTGCTATATCAATATAATTAAATGAAAAATAATAATAATAAAAAAATATCTAATGATAGTTTGTTGCTTTAGTTCCAAGGTTTTAATTTCTCAACATTTTTCATTGAAAATTGAGGACAAATGTTAAAATAATTTTGAGGGTTGTTTTCAAAACCAATGGAATTTCAACAATTATTCAATAATGAAAAATTAGGTTTGTTTATGGTAGATGAGCATAGAGGTTATTTTTTGAATAATACATGTTTTTAATTAAAATTTATTAAAATTGTTTGTCATATTGCGCATTAAACTGCGCTCATTTCCTGAAAAAATTTGTAACTCGCGCAAACGAGATGCAGATAATCAATTTTTGTTTTATGAGAGTGAAGGGAGTGAAGGAGACGACGACAAACAATGTCATTGACAGTTGTACAATAATTAGTAGCCATTTCGGAACGAGACTTCCCGTGATGCTCTGCGTAAATTCAACTTTTGTATTGTTATCCGTTACATCGGAATTAATAAATCGATTATTAATTAATGATACCCGTCATTATAAGTCAAACACCATAAGTAACAACGACTTCACAGATCATATTGTCAGTGTGTCCGATATAATCATAGCTGCATGTGATTTAGGCACATTTGCACCTACCTTTATGTTCATTGGCGGTTCTTCAAATGTCAATAACATGTACCTATCGCCTCGACTTTCTTGCGATCTCTGCCGAACCTGCACATAATTAACGCACTTTTAATTTAAATCCATAAACAAACTCAAACCACCGGTCACAGATAATCAAATGATTTAGCCCCCTTCCTTTACCTTGACAAACGTCTCCACGGCGCCCTTTGCTACATCTAATAACGTGGGGCGTCCGCCTAAATACGCCCTCTGATTCATTGAGGCAGAAGTGTCAATAAGGAAACTATAATTGTCATATTGATTGGATTTTCTGTTATAATTTACACTAAAATTAATATGTATATTTAGGTTAAAATGCTAGCCCATCATTCGCATCCCTAAATGCGACCATTCCCCAGCCGCCTCGAAGAGCAGCTGAAAACGACAAACTCCATTCCCGACGCCACGAACGCTTCTATACCACGTGACGTGTTCCACTACACTCGAAACTCGAATAGTCGAATAGTCGAATAAAACGAAAGTACGACCGCGACGATACGCGCGACTGTGTGCGAGTGGCGAACTGGCGAGTCCCAAACAGCGATGCGTTTGCGACTGTCGACTGTTTCTCCTCGCAACCGAACCACGGCCTGTGTTGTCCGTACTCGTAGATCGTAGTATCGTTTGCTTCTATGTGTATGTGTTGTGCAGTGTTGTAGTTGTGTGAATGCGTGAATGCGTGTATGCGTGTATGCTTTTATGTGGTGTGTGGCTGTTTCGTTGTGTGGGTTTGCCTGTATTCTGCTGCGCTCCTTCGGTTTCGTTGTCTTACTCGCGCATGACTATAAGGGACTTACACTCGTACGTGCATGCTAATGTTACATTATGATACTGGGATCTTTGAATCGACGACTGAGAAATATATACATTACATACATTAATACTTATGCTCGTATTAATACATGTAATCAGTGGCGTCGATGCAAATATTTCAATACTTTCCTAATACGTATTTTACAATGCAATTCAATATTTGACTGGAGGTGCATGGCATCGTGCCTCGAGGCAAATTGCTGGAACTTCCAGTACTAAAAATTAAATTTTTTAATAATGCTTTAAAATTGTTGGAAAACTTAAAAAAAATTCTTGTTTATTTTAGAAATAAACCGACTTTTTTTGAAAAATTAGATTTTTTTTAAATTTTGAATTTTTTTGATAATTTTGAACTTTTTTTAAAGCAATCGCATTGCTTAGCTGTTGTATAATCAAACTAGTAGGGTGCATGGTATCGTGCCTGAAGGTAAATTGTTGGAACTTCCCGTACCTTAACGAAATGTTCGAGTAATATTGAATGTTTGCAAATAGATTATTATAAATACTGTAACATTGTCTAATAAGAATTATACAAACTGAATCACAAAGTCAAAAATATTTATTTAAAGTATATAAGTGAGCTTTACAACTTTAGCCAGAATTAAAATTCAAATTTGAATCATTTTCGATATACAAAAAAAATGAAATGAAAAAAATTTTTTTTTCCAAAAGCAATTGTTTTGTCAACACAAGCAGAAAATTTTTTGAATCATCCAATTCGGATGCTTATTTCTCTCAAAAACTGTCATTTTTTGTACATTTAGCTGTGTATCTTCGAAATGGCTGGGCCTGCCTTTGTCAAAAACTAATAACCACTTTTCCCAATCATTGCTAATTAAATGTTTTTTAGATCATCCAAATCAGATGCTCCGTTCTCTCAAAAACTCGATTTCTATTTTTTGCACTCTTTGCTCTTTATCTCCGTAACGGCTGGACCAGCCTTTGCCAAAAACTAATCAGTACATCTCGTATCAATAGGAGTCGAATGTTTTATAAACGATTCAAATCGGTTGATCTGTGCGCCCGAAAACGTGAACGCAAAAATGCGGACACACAAAATACACACACACATTCATTTTTTCTGAGGTATGCCAAAATGTTCAGAAACCTTCAATGAGAAGAAGAAATGCAAAAATTTTCGTAATAAACCTGCTAAATAAACGCCACTAAATAAATCTGCCGTTAAAAATTTGGTTAGTTCTTCGTTTCGTTAATACATATAAAATGTTTTTTGAATAATTCAAATCGGACGCTCCGTTCTCTCAAAACCTGAATTATCATTCTTGTCAAAACGGCTCGACTTGCTTTTGCCAAAGCTAATCAGCACGTCTTCCCATTAATACGAATCTAATGTTTTTTAAATTATTCAAATCGTTTGATTCGTGCTCGCGAAATCGCCGACGAAAAATTGTATCCGCACACACACACATACATCCATTTTTTCTAAGGCATGCCAAAATGTTCAGAAACCTTAGAAACGTTAGATATATAAAAATTTTCATTTTCGATTTTTTGCGATTACTATAACTTACCATAAGAAAAGTTAATTAACACATACACACAAATACATTGAACTGTATTTGTGTGATTGTTGTATCACTCCTGTGATTATGGGAGGTTATTTGGTTGCTGTAGCAGAGCGGATGATAATATAGAAACACTGGTTCTTGGTTGATCTTGATATTTTATTGATTACTATTTTTACAATTAAATAATGTGTTTGATAACCTTTTGGTTATCTATAATCAGAGACTACATTTTTTAAGTATCTCAACAGTAAGCCTGACTTGACTCCTGACTTCTGAGTTGAGTCCTCACTTCTGACTGACTAACTAAATCTTAACTACTTCTTTATATACTAAATAATTGAATACAAAACGTGATTCCAAAATCTAACAGCAAGGCCGGAAGAACTTCGGAAAACCTTCAAATAGCACGTAGTGCTCTGACAAAAACAATAAATAACAAATTATATTTGTGATTACAGAATAACCTCCCCCTTCAAAGGTTTTTCGTCCTCGGAAAACACTAAAAAGAAAAAAAAAAAAAATTGATAAGATTGAAAAAAATGAGTTCCATCTCTTCCTCCGCCCTTAAGAAAACTTTTGTCCTCAAAAGTATTATTTCTGTTAGATTTCGTTTACAAACAATTAGACTCTAAAAAGAAAACCATTAAAACATTTCATAATAACTTGAATTAATTAAAAAAAAATTGCATAAAATTACATATTCTTTTTACTTACAGTGTATTATTTTTAACTTGTATATGACCTAATAGCATCTATACCTATAAAATTTAACTTAATCAGCAATCAACTGCAATTAATGGTCTTCGATTATGCAAAAACATTACTGAAATGTAATAAGTTATTTATAGAAGGTAAATCAAGACAATGAAGAATAAAGAAGTTAATAAAATAATTGGAAATAAAATATTAAAAAAAAAAAAAAAAAATTTGCTCATAAAAATTGGAAAAAAAAAATTATATCTGCAAACAACACTATTACAAAATTACCGTGCTCCCAAAATTTTGCTTACAAATCAAAATTGGAGAGAATTTGCATTGAAACTTGATAACCTGCATAATGTTTATGTTTACTAAACAATACGAGCTGTTCTGTTTATTATTGCCTTGACTTCAGTTGACCTCGTATTTCTTTCGGTATTTATAATTATATAATTTTTGCAATCGGGGTAATGTCATAGATTTCAATTTGTCCGTCTTCTTATGATGAGTTGACGACGATACCAACTTTTTGCTGCTCGGACTTTGTAAATTTGCAAATTCTTCATTTTTAATTAAATTTATATTCTTGTCATTGAACACGTCTATTGTGGCTGCTAAATCATTTTTTGATAGTTTCCATTGTGGCGGTATTTTTCTTATAACATGTATTTTGTGCTCCTTGACCTCTTGTATACTTTTTTCTATAATTTTGTCGTTAATACGACTTCTTTTAATATACTTCTTCTTCTTCTTTTTCTTTTTTGTTTCATTGGAAGCAGTTTTTATTTCTTCTTCATTAATTATTTTGATATCTTCTTGTTTGTTGTATATTTCTTCCATTTCTGGCACCGCATCTTGGATTTCTTCAAATTCAGCCATTCGTATGTTCAAATTTTCTTCATCTTCATCTTCATCTAATATTTCTGCAGTAATTGTCGTCAATTCTTCGGTTTCAGTGTTTTGAGTCAGATTTTCGACTGTGTATTCTTCGGATTCTTCTTCAGTAGATTTGAATGTGTTGTCTATGCCGTCATTTTTTCTTGTATTTTCTAAAATCATAGTATTTCCATAGTTTAAAGCATCGTAGCTATCGTTGTGTTTGCCTTGGTTAATATCTTCATAAATTCCATTTTGTCTGAAACTAGTTTTTTCTTCATATATCGATTTTTGGCGAATTTTTTCACATTTTGAAATGTGGTGTCCTCTTTTCCTGCAATATCTACACACAACGTAGCGGTTATATTGTTTGCCATAGGTAATATTTAAATACTTCTCCTCTTTGATGGCAATATTCTTAGCTTCCTCAAGATTTTTTGGTTTGGCTCCTTTAACAATAGTTTTTATTTCCAACTGGAGGCCTTCAAAGAAAACAGCTAGAGCTAAATCGCAATATGAGGCATAAATTGTTTCCTTTTTTGAAAAATAGCATTCAATATAAATTAACATTAGCAGATCATCAATTCTCTCAGCAAATTTCTCCGTTGGTTCCTCATTTCTTCTTTTCACTGTAGCTAATTCATAATGCAAATCTGTAATTGATCGGGAATCTTTGAATTTATTAATTAAAATTGGTTTAATATCTTCCCATAACTTATAATCAGACCACCTTATGCAATTAAATGCTGATCCATATAATCTACTAAGAGCAATTTTAGATATTATTTCATATGTTTCAAAATTAACGTCTTCTAAAATTGAATCTACTATGCTTACATATCTAAAGAGATTATATGAATTACCATCAAATTGAGGTATACTTTCAACAGCTGCCTTGATTCTGATTTCTCTTATTGCCTCACTATACTCTACATCTTGCATAAATCCTGAAGAAATGGGTTCCATCTCGAGAGAGTGATGTTGTCCAATTTGCTTATTGTGAATCCGATGAGTCAATGTCCAATCCTGTCGTAGTCTCTGTTGTTGTTCCAAAATTGTTCTCTTCGGTAGGCGCCACCATCCCCCAAGTTGTGCTGCGAATGGTCCTCCGGTTCACCAAGTTGTGGCGGCTATTTAACTCGATGTCCCCAGATGAAAATTTTCAGCACTGCGAGGAAAAATCCCACCGCTGCCACCATGAACTGTATTTGTGTGATTGTTGTATCACTCCTGTGATTATGGGAGGTTATTTGGTTGCTGTAGCAGAGCGGATGATAATATAGAAACACTGGTTCTTGGTTGATCTTGATATTTTATTGATTACTATTTTTACAATTAAATAATGTGTTTGATAACCTTTTGGTTATCTATAATCAGAGACTACATTTTTTAAGTATCTCAACAGTAAGCCTGACTTGACTCCTGACTTCTGAGTTGAGTCCTCACTTCTGACTGACTAACTAAATCTTAACTACTTCTTTATATACTAAATAATTGAATACAAAACGTGATTCCAAAATCTAACAGCAAGGCCGGAAGAACTTCGGAAAACCTTCAAATAGCACGTAGTGCTCTGACAAAAACAATAAATAACAAATTATATTTGTGATTACAGAATAACATATTAAATTTAAAACGCAATAAATTTATATTTATTTATATATTTCATACTTTAATTATAATTATATAATAATTCACTGGTATAAAATTCAATATAATTGAATATAATTTATATTATATTATTACGTATTTAAACTAGTATATATGCGTAGTAACTACACATTTATATGAAAGACTCATCTTCATATTCAACGGAGATATCATTTACAGCATCCAGTTCATTGACCACATCTTCCGCCTCCACTGCCTGAGAACAAAGCCAAAATGTGCGTAAAAAAGATGTATGTAAACACAATTTTTTTAAAATATATATAATTTTCCTTATATTACATTAAAACTCCACGCTCGTTGCAAAGACAAGATTATTTATTGTCCGCAAACAAATCGTGAATAATATTGTTGACGCAAAATATGTAAAACCATAAGGTGTGCAAAGAGCTTTAGAATTTTCAACAGATTGTTCGTGCGCATGGTAACATTGCGGCGGTTACCACTATTTTCATCGGTTACGAACGCTGTGTTAGCGCATAAAAACGATTTTTTATATATAAAAAAACTGCATTGTAATTACCACGCTTCTGTCCTCTCTCGTTTTTGTCAAAGGTTATTTCAAATGATTATAAATGGATGACATACAATATGCTTATATCTATTGTCTAAACAAAGATTTTCATATATATCAAAATGCAATCTTCGTCAAAGTTTCGAATCTTGCATTGGTACTAATTGTAAGCTCAACAAAATCTTTAAACTTTATTAAGCGTCACTCATAATCAGATTCCACAAATAAATTAAATAATCATAGATAAGGAAAATAATGTAAATAATATTCATTATTTGTGTTTTAAATTCATGCTAATAAATTCGTTCAATAATAAATTCCAAACATCAATAAATTTATGCAACGTAATACTATTTTTTGAATTTGATTTATGGCATATGCAATATATAAAATAATATAAATTTAGTTAATATTGTAAAATATAGTTAATATTTTTCAAATAATCTTAAATCACGATATGTATGCAAAACTATTCGTTATGAAAAATGAAAGACAATGTGAACAATCGTCTTGATAACTGTAAATATTAAAATATATTCAGAACGCTGTATTGCTACAAAACAATGCGAACAATCATTTAAACCAAACAGCTTTAATTATTCATTGTTTTCTTTTTGTCAACAGGAATTAATAACCGCAAATTCTGTTTGTTCTCCTAATTATACATTAAGTTAACTCATAATCAAATGCCTATGAACATACATTGCAATAATATATTTCATTGATTGTTTACGTATAGCATTTTTATGTATAGTATTTTTGAATGTTTATTAATTATAATATTCGTATATTTTAAAAGGTAATGTAATGCAATGCGTAATGGGCGTAGCAGTAAAACAATCAATAATTTTGTACGCTATTTGTAACATTCACGTCATTATAGTCTCGTCTGGACCTGCTCAGGTGAGACATATTCGTAGCAATTACAATATAAACTAGTGGTGTATGGCATCGTGCCTTAAAGCAAATTGCTGGAACCTCCCGCGCCGTAATGAAATAACGATATGCAAAAATTTCAAACTTGATTTTTCGACCTTTAACATTAACTTACCCTACGGCAAGTTAATAAATTTATATTTTATAGTAAAACCTCTACTAGTGCCAGTGCTGGATTTACACTAGGGGCAGTCGGGGCTACTGCCCAGGGCGGAAAATTTTCGGGGGCGGCAAAATTTGGATAGCAAAGAAAAAAATTCTATACAATGCAGTTACTAATTGTTTAAATAACATTTTTTTATTTCTAACAAAATATAATACGATTGCAATGCAAAACTTGGGTTCAAATAACCGATTATTAAAATTTATTATTGCTCTCCGAACGTAAATTATCAAATTGGTTAATAAGTCATTATCAAATTTGGCAATTTGATTAATATGAAAATTCGTAAACGAGCTGAAAGTTTAGGTAAAATATGTTCCTCAGATCTCGAACCCTCTTAAGCTGAAGAATTCGTGCACTTCCAAACTTATAGCGCCCAAAAAATTAGTGACGCATGGCATTGTGCCTTAAGGCAATGGAACTTTCCGTACTGAAAATTACATTCTATAAAAAGCTTTAACATTTTTTGAAAAATGTAAAAAAATGACGTTAAAAAACTTTTTTTTTTATATTTTGATTTTTTTTGAAAATTATGAACCTTTTTCAAAGCAATCAAATCAAAGCGCTGCATAGGTGTTTCAGAGACAAAATATCAAAACTCAATTACCATTTTTCGAAACGGCTGGTCCTGCCTGTGCCAAAACTAATCAGCACGTCTCCCCATCAATACAAATATAATATTTTTTTAATTATTCAAGTCGATTTCGAGAACACGGATCAACCGATTTGATCCTATGATTGATTCGATTCCAATTGATAAGAAGACGTGTTGATTAGTTATTGGCCAAGGCAGGTCCAACTGTTTCGAAGATACGGGCCAGAATTCCAAAAATGATAATTCAGTTTTTGAGAAACGGAGCGTTCAATATCATTAACCAAATGTACACGTATTGACAAAATGAAGAACTGCTCAAATTTGTGAGAGGAAGGTCTAGCGGTTTCGGTGATTCAATAAAAAAAATTGGAATTTGGCAGTTAAAAGTGATTATTAGACATATGCACTTTAAATCATCAGATATTTTGTAGATATTTTTATGATAAGTATAAATTTTGTGTACATTTCTATGGGTTCTGTAACATTGTTTATCCGTTACGACTGCGGCGCTTACACGCTTCTATATTTTGTGTCTACGCAGCTGTAGCAGCGCGATTGCTTAAAAAAAGTTCAAAATTTTTAACATATTTTGAAATATAAAGAAACACAAAATTTTCAACAAAGTCATTTTTTTTCAAAGTTTTCAAAAAATTTTTTTTTAATTTTCGGTACGGGAAGTTGCAGCACGTTTTCTGCAATCAAATAGTTATTTTAATTTTAAAGAAATATAAAAACTATTTAAGTAAAATTTCAGGGATGGGGCGGCATTTTTGTCAGTGCCCCAGGGCGCCAAATTTCTAAATCCGGCCCTGACTAGTGCCGTATGAATCATTATTTATATCTATTTATTTCATCAAAGCTTAAAATTATATTTTAATTACATATTTTAATACAAGTTAATAATGTAATAATGTACAAATGATATTTGCAATTAATAACTGAAAATCTTGCCAAAAAATTATTTATTTCAAGAAGTGCATAAGTTAAAAAACTGATGTTAAATTTATTTAAGTTATCATGACAATCTACAACATTTCTCAATACGTTTATTAGCTGACAGCATAATATAAATAATGATGCACTATTCCCTAAATATGAAATATCAATAATGTTCTGAAAAAGTAAAAGCTCAAATCATTGATTCTCCACTTTTCAGTAATTCACCTTAAAATCTTGTCTACCCTGTCCAATCTTTACTATTTTATTTGATTTGCAACCGCTATGTTCCTGCCCGTTGCAATCGTCTTGTTCCGGCACATGTTTCTTGGCGGACAACGCCACTCGCTGAGCCCACACGGGCGCAAAGCGGGCATCCTCTGCGCGATCCAGGTTGAAAAGCGAACCACCGGACTCGAAAGTCGCAGGGGTACACTGATCGCGTGGTATGGAAATCTGAAATAATAATAAAATTCATAATATTGCTTCGGAGTAAGGGATGACCACGGTAATATTGTGACAATTTAAAAAAGCTTGAGATAATACTAGCGTAAAAATGAGCACTTAAAATAGTTACCTTGCTTAATAATTTAGGATCTGGGAGTGCACCCTCTTGATGCCTTGCAGTATAACCGCCATTCATATCGACGCCAAACACTTTTGTAGGTTTCGGGTCGATTGTTTTTGGTTTTATAGAATCCGGCTCAAGTACATGTAGAGTGAAGTCTTTTCTGTTCAAGATACCTAGGATACAGCATATACATTAAATTGAGAAGAAATTTCTAACAATCAAAATTCGGTATTTTATAGTAATCGCAAATATATCGAAAATCAAAATTTTTGCATATCCGATATAAATAAGTTCCAAAGGTTTCTGAAAATTTTGGCATAAAAATGGATGTATACGACGAGAACACAGAATGGTTTAATAATGGGTGCAGATCATTGTGTCTTAAGGGGTTAGGGGTACTTGGAAGCACGAAAAAATGAGAATTTTCAGTATTTTTTTTGTTATTAAACGATATTTTTTACAAAAATAATAATACGGTATTATTATACAATGTTTTGACTTGAAGTATCAAAAATTTCAGAAAAAAAATAAAATATTCCCAAAGTTATAGCTGTTTTTGTTGACCCTGTTTCAAAAACGATCTTGGCGGTGACCATCATAACTCCTTGGATCTAAAATCTAAATCAATCAAATAAAAAAAATAGTTTTATAGTTTCACACAATTTTCGCACAATTCCATGCACCACTAATTTATAAACTAAAACTGAAATGTTAAATTATTTAAATTTAACATTCATGATATTAAAAACTACTGTACTTGAATTTTAATCTAAAGAAGAGTCAACACTATTGATAACCATTTTAATCAACTAACTAGCTGTAAGTGGAATTCTGTCTTAAGGCAATTAAGGCATCGTGCCTTAAAGCAAATTGCAGGAACTTCCCGTACCAAAAATTATTATTTTTTTAAAAACGATTAACATTTTTGAAAAAAATTTACTTAAAAAAAATAAGATTTTTGAGAAACTATAAATTGGCACAAAAAACTACTACTTTTTGGAAAAAAAAATTAAAAAAAAAAAAATTGTTTTTGGCACTTTTTGCCCCATATCTTCGAAACGGCTAGTCCTGCCTCCGCCAAAAACTAATCAGCACGTCTCCTTATCAATACGATCGAGTGTTTTTTGAATTATTCAAATTGCTTCATCTGTGTTCCCGAACATACATACACACACACGCACACATACATCCATTTTTTCTAAGGTATGCCAAAATGTTCAGAAACCTCTGAAACGTAAAGATATATAAAAATTTTCATTTTCGATTTTTTTGCGATTACTATAACTTACCCTACGGGAATTTAATAAATGAAAATGATAAAAAGGCATATTACAAATTTTATTATAAATTTTCATATGACTCTCTTATTTATAAATTTCTTATACAGGTTACATATAATGAAATAATTAATAATGATATATATTTTATATATATTCTGAAGCAAATTTATTTTAAATTTATATTTTTTTCGACATGTTTTCTGCGAATTGCATTTGACGATGGTTTAGTGGGCGATGGAATTATTGCTTTCTTTATCGGTTGTAATGAAGAAGATATATACAAGGTTATTATGTTTAACGATAAGCGCGTAAGAAACATGATCTTGAAATATAAAACAATAGCTCTAATCTGTAATATATTTGAGTTGATTAGCAATTTCAAATTAAATTTTGGTTATTTTTTATTTAACAAGTATTAAAACTCACTATCTAATATTAATTATTTAGTTTTCTTGGATTTGTATTAATGATAGTTTATTCTTATCAAACGTCTTATAATGCTTTATGCTAATACTAAACAAAACTAGTGGGGTGGGTGGCATCGTGCCTTAAGGCAAATTGCTGGAACTTCCCGTACCGTAACGAAACGTTCGAGGAATATTGAATGTTTTCAAATAGATTATTATAAATATTGATTATTGTCTAATATTTATAATAATTATATAAACTGAATGCAGAGTTGTTGAAATTATTTGTTTAAAGTATATTAGAACTATAGTCAGAATTAAAAATAAAATCTGAATTATTTTCGATATACAAAAAATTTAAAAAAAAAAAAAAAAAATCAATGGTACAAATTTTTTTTTCCAAAATCAATTATTTTGTTAAGACAAGCAGAAAGTTCTTTGAATCAATGAATCGGACGCTTAGTTCTCTCAAAAACTGCCATTTTGTACATTTAGCTCTGTATCTCCGAAATGGCTGGCCTGCCTTGCGCAAACTAATACCCTTTCTCCCAATCATTACTAATGGAATGTTTTCAGATCATTCAAATCGGAGCTCCGTTCTCTCAAAAACTCGATTTCTATTTCTACACTCTTGCTCCTTATCTCCGTAACTGCTGGACCTGTCTTTGCCAAAAACTAATCAGCTCTTCTCCTTATTAATAGGAATCGAATGTTTTTTAAACCATTCAAATCGGGTGATCCGTACGCCCGAAAACGTGGACGAAAATTTGTATCCATACATACATACACATACACACACACACACACACACACAACACACACACATCCATTTTTTCTGAGGTATGCCAAAACGTTCAGAAACCTTCAAAACGTCGAGAAATGTAAAAATTTTCAATTCCGATTTTCGGCCCATTACAATAACTTACCCTACGGAAAGTTAATAATTAGCATTTATTATTCTGAATAATTCTCCAGGCATAAGATAACCAATGGAAATAATTTGAATTAAGTATGAAAAATATTATTTATTAATATATTATTGGACCGTAATCGCTGGACCTTCCTTCCCAAACATATCTTCAAAACATCAGTTTTCATTTCGTCAGTCAATACAATAAAACGTTTTTGAATTATTCAAATCGGACGCTCCGTCATCTAAAACACTGAATAACCGTTTTTGGAAATTTTGCCCCCGTATTGTAAAATCTAATCAGCACATCTCCTTATGAATCGTTTTTTTTAATTATTTAAATCGGATGATCCGTGTTCCTGAATTCGTCGACGAAAATTTGTATCCGAACACACACACACATGCACACATGCATACATTTGTCTCTATGTTATGCCAAAATGTCAGAAACGTAAAGATTTTTTTTTATTGTTTGAACAGCAATCAGAACTCTTATATGTTCTCTAAGCTGTTTGTTAAGACTTACAACTACTTATGTATTTCATGAGAGGCAATCCATCGATTAACCATTCTCTTATGTGTGGGGTATTTTTGATATTAGCTCTGATATGATTGGATGTCACAGCTATGTCCACGAAGGACGATTTCCACTTGGAATTATATTGTGAGCTATAACCCCAAGCGGAAATTTGACATCAAAGCTGCCTGATGACGGGCTACGGCGGTAGCGGGAATCGAACCAGCGAACCAGGACTAGTTGCTGCTAGCCCACGCTCTAACCGATATCGCCACCGCTAGCTCAAAAAATTTAAAGAATTTCCTTACCGGGAATCGAACCCGAGCCTCCTGGGTGAAAGCCAGGTATCCCAGCCACTAAATCATGTGGGATATCAGTATGCTATATCATTAGAAACGTGTAAAGATGAGTAAAAATTTTCATTTTCGATTTTTTGTGATCACTATAGCTTAACCTATGGAAGTTAAAAATGTGAAACCTAATATTACATGCACGTATAAATTACCTGCAATATCATCATATTTTCTTGGCCTTGACACTCCTGACCTTGCAAAAGGACCAAGATTTTAGAAGCGCCTTTTCTAAATTGTAGTCCCGAAGCGTACTCTAAGACGCGTACAATATTTATTCTTGTTGTGTCTTTGGTGTCCCCATAGGAGATTCTGAAAATAGATTCGCGAAATAAACAACATATATTTTAAAACATAAACCTATGATTCATTATGCATTTTTTATATCATCAATTTATTACTTCGTGAGTAATTCGGCGGCTGTTTGTGCACTGTTCCAAACATGGGCCAAAGAGGTCCGTGTGTAAGGGTCTTTCAATCCCATGTCGCCTCCCCAGCCGACAATTGCGTATCGATTGACAGTAGAATCAAGGTTTTTCAAAGTTAACAGGTCGTCTAAACCAATTCCTTTGTTAAGCAACGCCTTCTCCAGATCCAAAAGAAGTTGGGATAAGTCAACAAACTAAAAAAAAGCAACTATAAGCAACTATATAAAAATAAGAAAAATGAATTATTATTTCAGATTAGGCTTAAAGCAATACTTTTTTTAACAATTCTACAAGTTCCGTAGTAAACTTATATACAATTTTAAGCAGTGGTGTGGTTCTAATATTTTTTTCAACCGAGCGCGTTCCGGTTTGTCTAAAAAAACGTTCTGGACTTCGATTCACGGTTCGAAAAAAGCCGGTTTTTTTCGATTTGTTTATAATGATACATATAAAAATTCGTCAAAAATTGAAAAAAAAATCAATACGTCAGCTAATTTCGTTATCACAAATCATTGCGGTAAGCATTCCTGTCCAAAAAGGAAGTATAGGAACGACGTTGAACACCACTATGTTTGTAAATGAGAACGTGGTGAAATAAATGAAATCAGAAAAATGTAATTCCTGATATATCCTATAGAAAATGTTTATATACATGAGTGT